TTATGATCTAAACTAGAGTGGATAAAGAAATCAGAATTCTGAGTATGGGTTTCGTGATGGAGGGATTAGATTAACGTTTGAAATGGGAATTAGGCAAGGGAAACTGGTAGAACAGAGAATGTTGAGGAGTTGGTAACTTTCTTTATTCTTATTCTTATTTTTTATTTTTTAGTTGTAGGATTTTGTATATGGTTTGTTGGTAAATACACTTTCATTTATCAGTTTCATTTTTATAAATTTCTGGGTTATATATATATATATATGTTATACACCACAAAGTATCTGCTAAAAAACTTGAGATGTTTTGATACACAATGCAGTTATAGAGCTCTCTACATATACGTTGACAAATATTTAAGCAAACCAAGTAGTTAAACAGAATGTAGATTACGATATATATAGGTATGTATGTATATAACATTGACATGAATGATTGCATTTTGCATTGGCTCTCTTTATCCAGTCAATCAAACCAGCAAATTACCAGGAGTCTCCTAGCATTTGTATGTAAAGGTAATGTGATGCTTCTAAGTTAATATTGCTGGATTAATTGAGTAATATAAAACGTTTTCTGAATTTTATTTTCTAAATTATATATTTATGTACATATTTATTTAATGAGATAGGTAAGAGTTGTAAACGTTGTAGAATAATCAAAATAAGAAAGTGATTTTTAAAAAGTCACAAAAAACAAAATTTTAAAATTTTCAATTTCATCATGGTTTTTACAAATTAATTTTTAAAAATAAAACTAATTTGTTATTAATTTTTGTAGCTTTCTAAATAAAATACGTACAAATTATAAAAAATATATATTTTACGTATGAAAATGAATCTTAATTTGTGAATCATATGTATCATCTAGTCTCCCAAAATTATTAAAACAAAAAATGAATGGAACACCTTCTTCCCTAAACTATACTAATCCATTTTCAAATTTATTAATTTTTCATCTTTCTATAAAGTTATTATTTCATGAATGTAAAACATATTTTTAACTTGACCTTATATAACATTTAATTAAAAATTATAATATTTCAACAACAGAATTCTGAATGCGTTAAGTTGATATAAAAAAGTACATTTCTAAAATTGTCTTAAAAAAAATTAATGGCAATATATATATATATATAGAGAGAAGAAAATATATTTATAAATTAATATTAAAGAAAGTTAAACAATAAAAATCTTTAAAGATTAGGAGTAGAGTAATTAATTATTAGGTGGTGAAAATACAGACGAATGGGTAGCGTAGCGCCCACTGTAAATAAATGCAAAGACATCAAAAACCAACTGCTTCTTGTTTTCTTCTCCTTCATTCATTTACTAATAAAATAGGCTTTTAATTAACTTTTACTTCTCACCTCCTTTTCAGTTTCCAACCCAAAGAATATTAATGCTTTTACTTTCAGTTTCCCACCAACATTTAATTAAATTTACCCAGCACTGCCCAGCTTTACCAACTTATTTATTACTAATCCATTATATAACTTATATATCTTTTGTTGATTATATATTTAATACCCAGCTGTGGAATATATAATATATTGTGGTTGTTTTTTTTAGACAGGATTAGAGAAAGAATTTAAATTATAATGGTTAAGAGAGTATTATGTCATTTGAGTTATATGTCTGTATTATATAATAGTGAGTTATAAATAATAAGATAACTTATTTTTTAATAAATTAGTTACTCATTCGGTGTAAATTTATTAGATTGAAAATATAAATCAAGTACATATATATTAGTTTTAGTGAAGGATTCAATTTTAAAGAAATGAAACAATTATGACTCATATGCTAAACTTTTTATTACGATAGGATATGAAACTTATATTAATCTAAAAAATAATTCTTAATATTGATGAATTTGAAAAAAAAAAAAAAAAGGAAAGATGTAAGTGATTTAAATTTATATCAGGTGGTCATCAATGTATTGGCTGTTTAAGCAAAAAATAAAATTCATATAGTTTATAAATGAGTAACTATCAAATACTGTAAAATCACATGAATTTGTATATTTTATAAATATAATTAGTTTCTTACATATAAAACATAAAAGAATTAAAATGTACCAATAATGTTAGCTACTATACATATACAAAAACCTACATTTTGATTAGGTTTAAATGACAGCCGCAGCTACAGACTGTTTTTAGCAAGGCGAATTTCAATCCACTAACTTTGAGCCTCCATCACCTTTTGGTTTATATTTGACTTCAGAAACCTAAATAGATACATGCATACATCCACATAAGAATGCAATTTCTTGGCTTTTTTCCAAGTGCAATTAGACAAATACAAATCATTTGGGTTTGGTCTCTCTCCAAATTTTCAAGGTTCTCATCGCTTGGGTTTTTTTTTCTTATTCAGTCTAGAATTTGCTAGGCAACCAGCAGACGGGATATTTTTTGTTAAATAACAACAATAATAATAATAATAATAATAATAATAATAATATTTACTACTATATAAGAAAAAGTGATTGTAAAGTTGTCAAAAGGGCGATAGTGGATAAGTGGTAGTGAAAGAAAGCTCAAATTGGAAAGCCACCGAATGCATGCGTGAAGGCGATCGCGCGCCAGGAAGTGCATAACTTCCACGTTTTTCTCTTCACCGCCTTTTTCTGTCTTCTAGATTTTATTTATTTATTTATTCTTTTCATTTTTGATTCATTCCGTAAGATAAAAGTGCGTTGGTAGTCATGAGTCATGCCTCAGATTGTCGTTGAAAAATGTTCAGCCGTACTAAAATTATCTATACTAAAAACTAATATCTTTAGAATATGAACAGAATAAACTAATATTTTTTATTTAAAAATTTTACATTTAATCCAATCGTAGATAGTTTTAAAATGATAAGAAAACTTATTTCTTTTAAAAAAACAAGTAAAATTAAAATAATATATTTAAGTTTTATCCATCTTAATAAAATTTCTCATTTTGATTTTACTGTAATTTTTAAGAGTTAAATGTTCATCACTTGAGCAAACCTTTATTTTCTCATAATTAATTTAAATGTATATTTTACAGACGAGGGTCATTTCTCAAAAACATGGTCTCAAAGTTTCTCTTGTAAATCACCTTAAATCTAACGTAATTGATACCTAAATTTTAAATTATTCGCTGTTTGTTATTTTTTTTAGTTTTACCAAACATAAAAGATTTACATTTTTCTTAAAAGATATATTATTTACACACATAAATACAAACCTTAATGCACCATTTTAAATAAAATACACGGCAATTTTGGATATATATATGTATGTATATACATACATATATATTTAAGAATTCTAACTGAACTTGTAAGACCCAATGGAATGTAATGATAATGATTCTTTTTTATTTTACACGATTATTACATAAATCCACGTGGAACATTCGTGATAATATGATAGGAGAAAACATCATTGCAACTATTAAAAGAGAAAACAAAGGAACAGATCATACACTTAATACATTGAATAATTTCATGAATGATTAGGTTCAGTACTACTCAATCAAAACTTTGAATCTCAGAAGAGATTTAACAAATTTGACGACAAAAATAATCATTGGACGTCTATTCTAGATCTTTGGAGCAATATGCCGGTCATAAAAATTAAGACAGACAATCATTATAATCTTCAATGGAGTTATTATTTATTATCGTAGTTATCATTGTAATACAAGAAAAAAAAGATGAGTACAGGAATTAAAGATGGCTAGAGGATTATAAATATGAAGAACATGCATGATAGAACCTAATTATTCCACGAAGAAAGAAGCAACAGAAAGGCAATAGCAGTTTGAAGTTCTTATTGCCAAAAGACCCCATAAATCCAACCTCATTGACAGTTCCTGCCATAAGCTACTATACAATTGCAATAACATGGAGGTTGAATGCTTCTACTAGGTTAAAAAATTTCCGATAAATTTTATCCGACAGTAAAGAGGTGTCACCTTGCACTCTTGAGTTGAGTCCTCCTTATCACTGGTGCAGAATGAGGATTTCGAATTATGGTAATCCATCTGCTTCTATTCCTGCCACTTAACTGTACAGTGTTGGGCTGCAACTGCCGGACTGTTGGTTTTACGAACTTGGACGTTACAGAATGTAACATCAAATTTTTACCTTAAGCAGACTGTAATGTCACCTTCCCGGCAGTTGTTCTCTCATACTCAGCACTAGCCTCTGGCGTGTCTTCTTCACTTGGCGGAACCAGTTGCCAGAAGAGTGGCAGATACTTCTCCCATTCCTTTAGAATGGCAGAGCCCTTGCCACTTCCAGTTTTTTCCTTTACACAACGGGAAAAAAAGTTAGGGGCAGAAATATAGTTTGGAGAAATGAAATGTTCCAAGATTATCAAGGCCACTGCAGTTCATATGGTGCACTTACAACATGGGATTCAATAAGACTTTTCAATTGCATCTGCCCAACTGGAGCAGTCACTCTTTGGATCTTTACAATCTCCTTATTTACCTGTTAATTGTTTAACAGAGCATATAAACAGGTGAACAAAAATATGAGAATTTTTAAGATAACAAAATTTTGTATCTGGGCTCTTTTGTGAGGAATGGGGTCTAGGATCAGCAAGCAGCAGTACCTTAGGGATGAGAGTGTCATCCTCATCAAGAATATAAGCTAATCCTCCTGTCATTCCAGCAGCAACATTTCTTCCCACTCTGTCAAGATGGAAGACCAAAGTAGCTCAAGCCCAACAAAGCAGACAAAAACCAATCTGTTGTAATACAGACATGCACAGAGAAAAGAGAGAATTACTTACTTTCCAATTACAACCACACAACCGCCAGTCATGTATTCACAACAATGGTCTCCTGTGCCCTCAACCACTGCCTGAGCAAGTGAATTTCTAACAGCAAATCTCTCCCCCGCTTTTCCTCTAGCAAATATTTGACCACCAGTTGCACCATACAAACAAGTATTCCCTACTATAGTTGCATCCTCTGGGCAAAACCCGGCATTCTCAGCAGGAGTTACCACCAATTCACCTCCTGCCATCCCCTGTAAATGTTCATTGTATTCATATCACATTATATAAAACTTGAACATGGCAATTGAATTCCAAATTGCTGTCAAACATAAACCGGAGGATCAAGTTGAGCACAATAGCTTTAAATGAATCATCTTAATAAAACATAAATTTTTAGATCCATGTCCAGAAAGGCAAGAAAATGTGCTTCACCAATTCTTTACTCTTTTGCAAGAGAAACAGAGATCAATAAGGAAAGCAAGCTTTGCACATAGTTAACCTGGAATTTCCTTTAGAAATCCGAAAAGTTGCCTATCTCAAAATGGCATTTACTAGGATAATGAGTGAGTTGCATAAACTCATCCATTGATTGTCAAGATAACAAACACATTAAAATACGGTTTCAATACAAGAGGATACATGCGTTAAGAACTTTACATGAGCTCTTATTACTTTAAAAAATGATATAAGTTTAAAACCATCTTACTGTACCATCTTTCTCCTTTTCATAGTTCCAGGTAAAAAAAAAAATTTTTTTTTTTCAAAAATTGTTTAATAGAAACCCAAAATAATTAACTTTGGTAACAAGGTGGGAAAATAATCAAATTGGGTCATACTATCCATATACTGATAAGTACAGTCAAATAAGCTTTGGTTGGCCAGAAGTTTATCGAACTACTGAGTATCAATTCTGGATCAAGCCAACTTTCAGTACGAATGGATGAAGAAAATTTTGTGAAGTTTTCCAGTTTCCTAAACATGGATAAGTGTTAACAGTCACATACCTTTCCCACATAATCATTAGCCTCTCCTACAAGTCTGATATTCATTCCAGGTGTCAAGAAACATGCAAAGGACTGGCCAGCACTGCCAGTGAATCTGAAGACATCAAAGAGTCTTGTAATTTTCCATACAGAAATTTCTATGTCAGTTCTTTAAGGAATTAATAATTGGATACAGAAAGATTCTTACGTAATGTTTAGCTGCCCAGCAAACCCAGTATCTCCATATTTCTTTGCAACTGCACCTGCTACCCGCCCACAAACAGCACGGTCCACATTATATATCTTCACAGTTTTATGGACTACTTTCTCATATTCAATTGCATCTCGTATCTGGAAAAGATGAGAAGTTCTTATTACTGCCACAATAGTAACCAGTGTATGCCAAGATACTTTTTTTTTTTTGGAAATACACTGTACACCAAGACACAGTAAGCTTTTAAGTATTTGGCACTAAGAGTGCAAAATACAAACACAAGAAAAATTTTCCTCTTTTATTTTGGCTTTTGGGAATAGACTCCAAAGTGAGATTGTGTATTTGTCCTAACTAGCAGAGCTCTTCCCCCCACCCAAAAAAAAAAATTATTCCTGTGGAACCGACAGAAAACTCCCCAACTGTTTGTTGCTAAATCAAATAGCAATTGTCAAATGACTAGAGTACTCTATGTTATAATGAGTTCAAATAGATCATATTTCCATTTAATTTTTATATCTTATTTAATGTATAAAATTTAATCATAATTTACATACATAATGTAAAACTGAATAAATATTATTCGTATTTTCAATTTTACAATGATGAAGAATATTCATTTTATCAAAAGAGAAATCACAAAAGCACGTAATTTTGAATTGAAAAATGAACTAACTTGAATTAAGAATGTTATTTTCATTCAATTTTTTATTTCATTTATATTATATTCCGGTACTCTTTCATAGAATTAAAATTTGAGCCTAGCTCAACTTATAAATACTCCTCAGTCTTCCTAATCTGCACTAGCACCCATATTAACGTAAATATATTCTTTTCTTTAATGTTACATAAAATGAGTTTTTAGATATAAATTTAATTTATTAATAAATCATATACAACATCAATTACCAAATACATAAAAATTCTAAAAAAGTTTGAAAATCATGTTAGTTTTTTCATTAATATTAATAACATAAAATATGTAAAAGTATATTTAAAAGAAAACAAACCAAAGTAGCCAGATCAAGTGATCAGTTTGGCAGCCAGGTTTTGCATCCTTACAGGCACCAACACAATGGCTTTGTCAGGCCAGGTCAGGCTAACTCTTGCTAGGTCATTCAAGCTGAACAATTTCACCATGGAAGTCAATGGTGAAGCCAGTCCAGATCCTGACTAGGGCTAGGTCCAATTGATTTTCCTTTTCTTAAACAATAAATTTCTAACGAAAGTATTTTTTTATAAGTTTTAAATGGATATATTAGTAATTTATTTTTGGTCAAGCAATAGTTTTTTTGATAAAATTTTAGGTGCTAGTCCTTTGATTAGTTCATTTTCTTAGCCAAATCATATTGAAGGGGAGCATTGCTTAGAGTTTGCGGGTAAGATCAATTCTTCCCTGTCAGGTTCTGTGGAAAGGATGACTTTTTTGTGAGTGGGGAAGGGTGGGGATGGGTGGCCAATAGTGTATTGATTATTTTTTTTGTTCTTCTTGCTGTTTAGGCCTTTTGGTTTTAGGAGGCTGTAGGAGGATATCTTATCCTCCGTTTCTGTATTTTCTCTACTCTTTTATTCAATTGTTTATCTTCTATGGGAAAAGTATGAAGATGGAGCTCTCCAAGCATGAGATATTAAAATAGGTTACCTCTGGATCAGCAAGCAAAGTATCATCTAGGACGGGACCATTTGAATGAACATCTTGATTCCTAATTGCAGTACTGCTCCTTTTTGGTAACCCAACACTCTGGAAATCAAAGCAGAGTTGTATAAGAAAAATGAACTGGTACAATCACTTAAAAAGACAACATGTTAAGATCAGAAACATCATGTCAAATACATACTCTGAGAATATAATTAAGCTCAAGATGCTGTGTTTTCACTAATGAGATATCTCGTGGTTTTAATAAATCTGTCCGTCCAATTATGTCATCTAACTTCTCGTATCCCAACTGTGCCAGTACACCTCTTACCTGATGAGAAAAAAGAAATTGGGCATTAAAGAGTCTAATAAGCATAAGCCCTTATATGTAACTTGAACCATTAGAGCACTCATTTTCTGGGAGGGATGGTGCATGAAAAGTGAAAAAAAAAAGGCTGGCAAGAAGAAAACGTGGCGTAGATAGCAAATTGCAAAATAACATTCTAAAGTTTAAGGATCAAACAACCACAATGCTTCAGCTCAGTTGCTACCTGTTCCATAAGTGAGTTTTTATTTCTTGGTTTAACACTTGGTACACAAAGTGGCTAAGCCAGCTAAGGTAAAAAAAAGAAGAAAGATCATACAGATGGATTACCTCCTCAGCAACATATAGAAAGAAATTGACAAGATCACCAGGCACACCAGGGAAACGAGCACGTAATTCTTCTCTCTGACATTAAGTTGGGGAAAAGCAAAGTACAGAGAAACATGAATATCAGCAAATGAGCAATTAACTGGGCACAAGAAACAATATCTCCATTACCTGACTGGCAACACCAACTGGGCAATTATTTGTGTGGCAAATACGAGCCATAATGCATCCTGTAGCAATCATTGCCACAGAACCAAACCCATATTCATCAGCACCCATTGCCGCAGCCATTAGGACATCGACTCCACCTTTTAAACCACCATCAACTCTGAGAATGACCCTTTCTCTAAGTCCATTTTCAATGAGAGTCTAGAAGAGATTTAATTAATCAATAGTATCAATACTGTCAATTCGGTATTAGAAAGTAGAACTAATTTACGGAAGAAAAAGGTATACCTGGTGAGTTTCTGTTAGTCCAAGTTCCCATGGGCCACCAGCATGCTTTATAGAACTTATAGGACTGGCTCCAGTTCCACCATCATGCCCTGATATCTATGGAGCAAATTAAAGTAATTAATTGCATTTTCTCTTGAGAATAGAAAACCTGAAAACAGCAATCTAATGAGCAACTAAAAGTTGTGTCTCATGTTTCTCAACAGCACTCCATTACTTAATAAATTTTAAATGGAAAAGGAAGTATTTTAGAAAAGGAGAGCAAAAAGTACAGTAGGGGAGGATGCAAATACTTAAAATTTTGGTATTAAGAAAAATGAGATGGTATCTGAGGCAGACCATGTTGCGCACAAGTTGGAAAGAAATGGTTCACATAGGCAGAAAGCTTCAGTAGCCACCAAGCCAAAACTGAATACTCCAGACCATGCTCTCAAGAGCCCTTCTAAGTTATATTATAAAATTCTGAAAATTCCACAATCTATCATACGGTCTACACCCTCACATTTGAGCTTCATGCCTACTCAACACTTTTTTCCCTTTCTGTTCAAGGGATAATAACTGAGTTTCCAGTACAAACCGATGACTTTAGAAGGACAAAACTCATGATCATATAAAAAGAGTATTATGCCCTGTTTCTGGGATAAGGAGATTTCATATAGAGATTTTAGTTGGTGACATTGTTTCCCACTGTACTAGAGAAAAGATGGTGACATTTTCAATCAGTTTTTTCTTTTGACAAGAGAAACAGTCAATCAGAAACCTAAATACATTTAGAATAAAAAAATTAATTTCAGTAAGCCACTGTATACATATTATCTCCATATATGTAAATGCAGAATTCATATAACCAAAATAAACTTTGAAAGTCATCTTCAGTATTTAATGCTCGATTCATGCATAGAGAAACAGCCAAAAACTAGATACCTGTACAATATCGGCATTACCCTTCGCAACCCCTGAAGCAACTGTTCCAATCCCAGCTTCTGCCACGAGCTTCACTGACACCTTTGCCTTGGGATTGATCTATTTGTGTGGTTAATGAAAAATCATCTGTATCAGTGTTCAAGAAAAACACTTCTCATCAGTAATAGAAGCAAATGATTACCTGATGAAGGTCATAAATTAACTGAGCTAGATCCTCAATAGAATATATGTCATGGTGCGGTGGCGGAGATATAAGCGGAACACCCGGCTTAGAATTTCTCAGCCTTGCAATATAAGCACTAACTTTTTTGCCAGGTAGTTGACCACCTTCACCAGGCTTTGCACCTTGTGCAATTTTGATTTCTAACTGATCTGCATTGACCAAGAATGTTGGAGTGACACCAAAACGTCCTGAAGCGACCTGAGATGATCCCACTAACTAATTTTCAGAAAGGGCAAATGCATGAAAAGGAAGGATATTCACTTCTTCATAATTTTTTAAGCACCATATAAAATTCTCTTTGATGGTAATCAGATCCTTTGAATTTATAGAAGACAACCTGATTGCTTATGAAGAAAGATAATGGAACCATAAAGATTTGATCAAAAGGAAAATGTTTACTGTCATGACCTGCTTAATAGCACTTGTAGCGGTATCCCCATTTTGAAGACCCTTAAGATGCGGCAATGTAGGAGAGTACCCATCAACCACATCAGTAAGTGGATTCCAGCGAATAGGATCCTGGAAAGAGAAAAAAAATACATGGACTATTAAAATTTTCATCATAAGCCTTGTATATGCTTAAATTGTATCATGCATTATTATAAATCATCAATAGCACAAACTACCTCACCGCCTTCTCCAGAATTAGATTTTCCACCTATTCTATTCATTGCAATGGCAATTGCTTCATGGGTTTCTCTTGAAATCGCCCCAAGAGACATTCCACCTGTGCAAAACCGTTGAACAATAGACGAAGCAGGCTCCACCTTTCCAACAGGAATTGGTGCACGATCACTTTTAAACTCAAGAAGATCACGGAGAACCTGCAGTTAAAAGTGAATGCATATAATATCTTTGAGATCCTGAATACGAATAAAGATTTATTTTGATATACATACACTTTTTACTAGATTTTGTCAATTAATGGAGAAAAAAGAACTCACATTAACCGGTCGGTTTGCCAAATGCTGCTGATAAACTGAAAATGCACTTTCACTTTTCTCTCGAACAGCTTTGTGGAGCAATTTTGACATCTCTGGGTTGTTTCCATGATACTCCCCTTTTTCAAAAAAAATAAAATAGAATTTAAGACATCAAAAGGAGTAATCTTGCAATAAGTTAATGTAGAATTCCTAAACAAGATTGATTTTAGGAAGATTTTCTTCCTGTAGAAATCCTAAAAAATATTGATTTTAGGCAGATTTACTTTCTAGAATGTAGGAGCTAAAAATCTAGGATCTGAATTTATACTCGGATCCCATAATTCCTAGTGTAAATCTTCTTCCTTCTTAGGAAACTCAATAGATTAGGATTCTCTCCTAAACTGTAGGTCTATAACTCTTGCAATCAACGGTAAAGAATTATCAAACAACGTGGTACCAGAGCTGTCTCCAAGACACTTACATCCTGGTCAATAACAATACAAATTACAGAATGACAAGCCGCACTTTGCAATGTCCAGAATCACAACCATCCTCCAAAACTCTCCAGTAGCAACTAATGGAAGAATGGATATTCAGGCATTGTCTATAACCGATCATAAACTCAACGGCCAGAATTACCTTCCATGGTCTAAATCTGTGATAATGTTCATATGTGGAACGGCTTCGATGATTACTTCACAGGTGCTGCAGTTCCTCCACTTAAAGAAAACTCAAAATATCAAGCTTGAAAAACCAAAAATAACCTGATGATGTCCTGGCTAATCAAGTCAATAACAACTGAAATTGGAGGAAACTTCCTTCTGTTTGTATCTGCCAAGGAGATTTGGGATGCAACAAAAAAAAAAATTATTTCATAGTCGACAAGAAATCCGAACTATTTGTCATGGAAAGCGCACTCCATGACTTACAACAAGGAGACGTAAGCGTAACCTAATACTTCAATCTTTTAACCCGCAACTGGCAACAGCTTAATCTTTGAAGAGAATCAGTGGACTTGTCCTAAAGATGACTTGAGGTACAAAAGAATTGTTGAAAGGAAAAGACTTTTCAAATTTCTGCTCGGCCTCAACAATGAGCTAGACGATGTCTGAGGGAGAACTCAGGGTTCGAAACCCCAACCCAGTTTCGCAAGGCTTTCCTCGAGATGCGGATGGAGGAAAGCAGAAAGAAAGTCATACTTGGAGACCTCAATTCACCGTAAACACTCAAAAGTTCTGGACTTTCTGTCTGTAACAACCAGATTAGCCAGGGAGAGACAAAACAGAAAAACCTTGGTGTGATTATTGTCAATAACTAGAGTATTCAAGGGAAATTTGCTGGAAACTCTACAGGAACCAGCAGATTAGAAACCTCAAGGAACCCAAACAGCAAAGAAACAAAAGGAACTGTAATTGCAAGGGAAGACTCCACTACATCTACTATTTAGTAAGGAACACAATAGAGTTCTTGCAAAAGTTAAACAATCCTCATCAAATAAGTTGCCAAGTGGATGGTACTGGGTCAGTGACTCACTCAGGTAATTTTGTAAATACCGTAACCTCAAGGCAAACATTGGGCAACACCTGGTCATAGATTCTGGTGTTTCACACCACATGACAGGTGATTATATAATCTTCACTACCTATGCTCTTTGCCGTGCGAACATCTCAGTAAAAATTGTTGATGGGACTTAGGTCGAGTTATTGGAAAGGGTTCAGTATCTCTAACTAAAGATATAACCTTGAATTCAGTACTCTTGTTCCTAAATTAAGTTACAACTTGTGGCCAGTTAACAAGCTCACGCAAGAATTGAATTGTGCTGCTAAATTTTATTCAAACCTCGTTGAATTTCAGGAACTAAGGACAATTGGCAATGCTGATGTGCATCAAAGACTCAATATCCTCAAGAGCAACTACATCTAGGAACAACCATTTAGGTTCACCTCTCTCACAAGGCAAGAAGATACTATTAGATTGTGGGGCTATATATTAGGACATCTCAAGATTAGTTATTTACAAAAACTTGTTTCCTCATTATTCAATAAAGAATTTAAAAATTTCAGTGTTAAATATGCCAAATTGCATCTCGAAACTCTCATCAAGCTCAACCTTATAACGAATCAAGTCCCTGCTCACTAATTCATAGTGATGTCAAGGAAACCTCCAAGGTAAAAGTATATTAGAGGGGCAACATGACTTGTTCTATTTGTTGATGACCACACTAAAATTACATTGGTGTATCTTATGAAAGAAAAATCTGAAGTAGGGGAGACATTTCAGAAGTTCAACATAATGATACAAACCAATTTCATATAAAATCCAAATACTTAGAACTGCTAATGCAAAAGGAGTACTTTACACAAACCCTGAGAAAGTACACAGAAAACCAAGACACAATCGATCAAAGTTCTTGTGTAGATATACCCCAAAAAAGTAGGATTGCATAAAGGAAGAGCCTTCACATCCTAGAGGTACCTAGATTATTCCCATTCTCAAATTCATGTGCCAACCATTTCTGGGGAGAAGCCATACTCATTGCCACTTACCTAATTAACAAATTGCCCTCGAGTATTAAACCCCCTAACACCAAGCTAAAAACCACTCATGATTTATCACTAGAATCGGACACATCTTCCGTACCTCTCAAAATATTTGGAAGTACTACATTTGTCCTCATTCACCCACATACTTCGTAGTAAACATGGGCCTAAATCTATAAAATGTATCTTCCTTGAATACGCTCTAAACTAAAAAAGAATACAAGTACTATTCCTCAAGCAATAGAGAGTTCTATACTACTATACATGTGACATTCTTTGAAACCACTCTATCTCGAACTTGAAATTCAGGGGGAGAGAGAGCAAGAAGAATCCCAATTTTGAGATAAAATAAGGGAACATAATCAATATATGGAGCCACAACCTATTCTCAGCAGGGTGCAAGAGAGTGACAACAATCTTGATCTCATACAAATTAATGGTGACAGTGAGGATGAAGCCCATAAAAATTGTCATAGCTCGTGGTAAACAGAGACTTTCGAGTATATTCAAGGAGGAGGAAACTTAAGAGGATAAAGAGCAATATCTAATCACCTGAGCAAAGTTAAGAGTCCATTCCAAATGAGAGTTCTAATACATAATTCAGGTAACATTCTCTCTGATAAAACTACAAGCAAATACATGATTGACGAACATCCTATTACCTTAAGAAAAGAGGTAAGGTCATGCACAAACATCCCTTATACAACTTTATCTTATACAAAAGGGTTGCCAACACAGTTTTAGACATTTATCACAAATTTAGATAACACTCAGATTCCCAAAATAATCCAGGAAGCTATGAATATCCCAGAATGGAAGATAGTTGTATTAGAAGAAATGAAGACTTCAAAGAAGAATTACACTTGGGAACTTACACACCTACCTGAAGGAAAATAAACAGTTAGATGCAAGTGGGTCTTCAATGCGAAGTACAAAAGTGATAGAGGTACTGAGAGATTTAAAGTTCAGTTAGTAGTTGAGAGATTTATACAATCCTATGGTATTAACTACCAAGAGACATTTTACCCCTATAACCAAACTAAACACAAATTCATGTATTATTGTTAAACTTGTTCACGTATTATTATCTTTAGCTGTTAATCTTGATTGGCCCCTCTACTATGTCTTCCTCAACCCGAAACTTGCAAAAGAAGTGTAAATGGATATTCCATTGGCATCAAAAACATAAGCAAGTAGAAGTAGAGTATGTAAACTCCGAAAATCTCTCTATGAATTAAACAGTCCCCAATAGTCTGGTTTAACCAATTTAACAACACAACAAAGAAGAAGGTCGGCTATCACACAGTGCCAAACAGATCATACTCTCTTCGTGAGACATTCACAGAATGGGAAATTAGCAGTACTGAAAGTTTATGTGGACAGCATAATCTTAATTACGAATGACGAAGCCGAACTTAAGAAGCGCAAGTGCATCTTGACTAAGGAGTTTGACACAAAAGATTTAAAGAAACTTGAAATACTTCATTAAGCTGGAAGTAGCCAAATCTAGGAAGGGAATCACAATCTCACAGAAGAAATATGTTATCAACTTGCTTAAGGAAACAAGAATGCTTGGTTACAAACCTGCAAATACCCCTATGTAGTCAAATATAAAATTCAAAACTGAAGGTGAAAGTCCCCTAGTGCTTAAAGGGAAATATTAAAGATTAGTCGGAAAGTTCATCTACCTCTTTCACACAAGACCTGATATAGGGTTTGCAGTAAGTGTAGTGAGTTTATGAGTCATCCCATTGAGGAACATCTAGGTGCTATAAACCGTATCCTGAGAAACCTGAAGATGACTCCAGATAAGAGATTATACTTGAAGAAAAGTTCTTAGAGGGATGTGAAAATATTTACAAATGCTGACTGGGCAGGGTCAACTGACAAGAAATACATCTAGCTACTGCTCATATGTACAATAAACTTACTAACCTAGCGGAATAAAAAAAAGATCTATGGTAGCAGAAGCAGTATAGGAGCTGAGTTCAGGGCTATGGCCTTAGGAGTGTTTAATGATATGTGGCTTGATCGTATATTAAAAGAATTAAAGGTTGAAAATTGTACTCCTATAAAGCTATTTTGTGACCACTTATCAACCATAAGCATTGCTAAGAATCTTGTTCATCACGATTGCACAAAACATGTTAAAATTGACTGATACTTCATAAAGGAGAAAACAAGAAGTAATTCATGTGGTACACATTGTTCAAGTCAACAAACAATAGACATCTTGATAAAATCTCTAATGAAAAAGAACTTTGAAGATATGAGATTCCAAGCTTGGCATGATTAATATCTACACCTAACTTGAGGGGGACTGTAAAAGTTATAAACAAGATTTATTCTAGGAAATTTACTTCCTAGAAGGTAGGAGCCGAAAATCTAGGAACTGATCCCATAATTTCTGGTGTCAATCTTCTTCCTTCCTGGGAGATTCAACATATTAGAATTCTCACCTAAATTGTAGGTATATAACTCTCATAATTCTTCTCTACATATTTGAAATGTTGGTGATCTAATTAAGAGAAAGAAGAAGAACTATTAAACAACAGTTAACAAAGCGTAAAATCTTAAATCAGCACTTGCAGAAGTTCAAGCAATCCTGTCAAGTCGAAAGATTTTTTTTTTTTTTAACATTGTATTGCAGTTAGTAAATCCATAAACTACTTGATGGAATAAGTATCTAAATATTTGACAATGATACATAAAAATTTCGAATATCTGGCTACAATTATACCTCCAGGTCTAAATTGTATAAATCCAAAATTTTCCAATCGTTTAGCTGTATCCTCAGAGAAGGCCTTCACCCAAAAAGACAAAGTCTCCCTTGCAAGCTTCAAGAAATCAGCCATGGAAAGATAGAAATGGTCAGTATTATAAGCCAAGTATATTGCAGAAAATGCAAATTCTTAACTTAGATGCTGGCAAACTGCTTTTTCCAATGAGTAAATAAAGGTTATCCAAGAATTAATATTCTCCAGCAATCAAATGTAAGTGTCAGTTGTGCTGAAATTAGGATGATACTTTTGGAAAATTTTGTGTGAAATTAAAAAAAAAAAAAGACATGCTGACCGTTCAATAACGTGTTCTCTTGATTCCTAAGTTGATAAGAAAATTTTGGGTGCTTCTGATCCTAATAGCCATGGATTTCCCATAATTTGGCTTCCTGCATATTAACCTTACTATTTTATTTCCTCAGCTACAACCCATTTGCAAAATCTTCAACAGTGCAATCATCCTCATAAAATTGCATTTGCATGAGGAAATACTACTAGAAAGTACTATGCAAGTGTCTACCAGCAGAAAACAAGTATCTGGAAATGGAAATAATTGCAGCAAAAAAAGTAATTCATTTTCTCATAAAAAAAGATGTTTTAGTCCAATGAAAGGGGAAAAAAAAGAGCTTTTAGTTGTATTCTGACCTCGTCAAGAGTTAATCCACCAATTTTTGATACACTTCCACGAAATGCAAGATCAACAACTTCCTGCTCTAATCCATATATCTCAAATATCTGTGCACCACAATAACTAAACACAAGAAACAAGCAAGTCAATATGCCAACATAGCTAGCAAAGAGGTTGACGTCGAAGATATACATTAGGTATAAACAGAGAAAAAGAAAATTAAGAAATCACACCTTGAAAGCAATGAAATGCCCATCTTAGAAAGAATTTTTAGAAGACCAGCACTAACTGCCTGAAATGGTAACAAAAATCCTGCATTAATATTTGAACAATGGAAAAGACCAGAAATATACAAAACTGAACATGTCATCTGCCATGAAAGATCTCAAACAATTAAAATCAGTACTTGCAGATGTGGAACAAACAAGAATCTTCCAAATCATTCAGAAAACTTGACAACTTACACATAAACTAGCACGCCAAGGATGGAGAAAGATTTGA